CCTTCATGTAACTTTCTTAGTTATTATGTCAAAACATTCATATTCTACTCATAGATTCACTTGTACCCTTGCAAGATGAACCACAGAAGTGAACCCTCGAATCTCTCTCCCTCCACCCTCTCCCCCCTCCCTTAGTTATCAGACTTTTATCAGTAACATAACCTGCAAAAATCTTCTCCCATTCTGAAGGTTGTCTGTTTGCTTTACTTACTATGCTCTTGGCTGCAAAAGCTTTTTAGTTTGATCAGATCCCAGTAATGGATTTTGGGTGTTGCCTGGGGGGGGCAGGGTCCGCCTCATAAAATATTCTCCCAGGCCAATTTCTTCAAGTGTTTTCCCTGCACTCTCTTCTAGTATTTTTATAGTTTCATGTCTTAAGTTTAAATCTTTTATCCAGTGAGGATCAATTTTTGTTAATGGTGAAAGGTGGGGGTCTAGATTCAGTCTTCTACAGGTTACTGGCCAGTTCACCCAGCACCATTTGTTAAATAGGGAGTCTTGCCCCCACTGAATATTTTTGATAAGTTTGTCGAAGATCAAATGACGATAAGAAGCTAGGTTCATCTCTTGGTTCTCTATTCTGTTCCATAAATCTACCGCTCTGTTTTTGTGCCAGTACCATGCTGTTTTGGTCACTATAGATTTATAGTACAGCCTGAAGTCTGGTAATGTGATACCTCCTGATTTGTTCTTATTTCTGAGTAATGTATTTGCTATTCGAGGTTTTTTCTGATTCCATATAAACAAAGTACTATTTTTTCAAGTTCTTTAATGTATGACAATGGTGCTTTAATAGGGATTGCATTAAATCTGTAGATTGCTTTGGGTAGTATGGACATGTTAACAATGTTGATTCTACCCAGCCCTGAGCATGGTATGTTTTTCCATTTGTTAACATCTTCAGCTATTTCTTTTCTCAGAGTTTATAGTTCTCTTTATAGAGATCTTTCACGTCCTTTGTTAGGTAAATTCCTAAATTTTTTCTTAAGGGATGATGGCTCATACCTGTAATCCCAGCTGTCTGGGAGGTTAAGGCCCAAGGATCACGTGAGGCCAGGAATTTGAGAGCAGCTTGGGCTATATAGCAAGACTCTATCTCTAAAAAATAAAAAATAAAAAATTTAGCCAGATGTGGTGGCCTGTGCCTGTAGTTTGGGCTACTTGGGAGTCTAAAGCAGGAGGATTGTTTGAGCCCAGCAGTTCGAGGTTGTAGTGAGCTATGATAATGCCACTGCCTGCCAGCCTGAGTGAAAGAGTGTGACTCTGTTTTCTTTTTTCCTTTTTTTTTTGAGACAGAGTCTCACTGTGTCAACCTCGGTAGTGCCGTGGCGTCACAGCGCACAGCAACCTCTAACTCTTGGGTTCAAGCAATTCTCTTACCTCAGCCTCCTGAATAACTGGGACTGCTGGTGCCTGTCACAATGCCCAGCTATTTTTTAGAGATGGGGTCTTGATCTTGCTCAGGCTGGTCAGGTGAGCTCAAGCAATCCATCCACCTTGGCCTCCCAGAGTGCTATTAACCCTATTACACGGGTGAGCCACCGCGCCTGTCTGGAAGGGGAAATTTTAAGAAAGAGTCCTGGTTGGTTCATTTTCTGTTGTTATCCAGCCCTGAAATCTCAGTAACACCACCAAAGTGGAAGAGTATGATCTGAAGATCTCCAAGCTTCCTTTTGGCTTGGAATCTTATAATTTCTGTGCAGAACACTGAGGTGTTTTGATTCTCCATTGGCAAGAAGCTGAGGGAGAGGGGTTTGCTCTAGAGTTCCACCACCCCCAGCTATTGGAGTGGTCTGCTTCACGCTTGGGCTTGGCCTTGGGAAGCCCAAAGTTGAGGTAGCCAGGAAGTCTCCATCTGGCCACTGAGGCTGACCTGTGAAGCATCCGGTCCCAACTTACCCAGTGGCTTCACGTGGCCCACTGTGGTACATACTTCCCCATGCGAGTCCCTAGTAAGAAGTCAGAGTGGCAGTGTGGGAGTAGCGGCAGGGAAGGAGAAGTGAAGACTCTGAGACCTCTGTCTGCGGGTTGTTTCCCAGAGGGGACTACAGATTGTAGGAGGTGGGAGGAACTGTGAGTTTGTTCTCCTTGCTCAGGAGATGCGGTGTCAGGCCAGGTTTTATCCCTAAATATTTTATGACTTTGAATAAATGTCTTTAACCCCTCCAGGCCTCAGTTTCCCCACAGGTACAATGATGGAATGGGACTATATGACTTCTAAGGGCCTGTGCCAGTGGGCTGAGATTTCCCTGTCTTTCCTTCCGTTGGGGTTGACAGGTACTTGTCCTTTCGAAGTGGGGTGGGGGGAAGGGGGGGGAAGGGTGTTTCATTTCTCTGCTTGCAGGGTCCGGTCAGCCATAGGTAGAGTGACTGGTTTTGTATGGGCCACCTAGGCCTTCCTTTCTTATTCTGGAATAATGTGAGGATTGAGGGCCAGCAAGGTGGAGCTGCTTCCTTTCCCAGCCAGGCTGATTTTTAGCGAGGTTCTCAAATTCTGGTTTTACTTCTTTTTTTTTTTTTTTGAAAACTGGTCTTGGCCAGGTGCGGTGGCTCATGCCTGTAACTGTGGGAGGCCGAGGCAGGTGGATTGCCCTGAGTTCACAGGTTGGAGACCAGCCTGAGCAAGAGCGAGACCCCCGTCTCTAAAAAAATAACCAGGCATTGTGGTGGGCACCTGTAGTCCCAGCTACTTGGGAGGCTGAGGCAAGAGAATCACTGTAGTCCAAGAGTTGGAGGTTACTGTGAGCTAAGATGCCACGGCACTCTACCATGGTTGACAAAGTGAGACTTTGTCTCAACAAAAAAAAAAAGAAAAGTGGTCTTACTCTGTTGCCCTGGCTCTAGTGCTGTGGAATCAACCTAGCTCCCAGCTACCTTGAACTCCTGGGTTCAAGTGATCTTCCTGCCTCAGCCTCCCGAATAGCTGGTTCTACAGGCACTCACCATCATATGTAGCTAATTTTTCTATTTTTCGTACAGATGGGGTCTCTTTCTTGCTCAGGTGGGTCTTAAACTCCTGAGCTCAAGCCATTCTCCTTCCTCGGGCTCCCAGAGTGCTAGGATTACAACCAGTCTGGTTTCTGTTGTTCCCTTTCCCAGGGGCTGAAGCACTTCCTATTTTCCCTGGTCCTATTTACTTCCTATTTACTCCTCAGTCCCTCTCCTCCATTCCCTCTAACTTCAGAGACAAACTGCAGTAGGACCCACTGTATTAAATACATAGGGAGACCCACATCTGGTGAAAGGGATTGTATGGAATGTTAAGAGGAAAATACAGGGCATAGAACAAAGCTACACACCAACCTGGCCAGGTAAGTACTGTCCACACAGTTTAGGAGACGGTGTGTGTCCAGTGGGAAGTCTCAATCTGTTTTTTTGAGACAGAGTCTTATTATGTCGCCCTCAGTAGAGTGCCATGGCATCGCAGTTTACAGCAACCTCAAACTCTTGGGCTTAAGCGATTCTCTTGCCTCAGCCTTCCAAGTAGCTGGGACTACAGGTGCCTGCCACAATGCCAGCAATTTTTGTTGTTATTGTTGTTGCAGTTATTTTAGCTGACCTGGGCTGAGTTTTAAATTACCTTCAGTGTGTGTGGCTAGCACTGTAACCACTGTGCTACAGGTGCCTAGCCGGAAGTCTCAATCTTAACTGTAAGGACTTGGGGGCGGTGCCTGTGGCTCAGTGGGTAGGGCTCCCGGCACGATAAGCCGAGGGTGGTGGGTTGGAACCCAGCCCTGGCCAAACTGCAACAATAACAGAAAAAACTTGGGTAGGTTATTAACCTTTTTGAGTTGCTGGGAAACAGAGGACAATACTCCAAAGTATGGCGCTTTGGCATGCTCAGTACTTTGAACTAAAGGAGATTGGAAGGCCTCAGAAGAGCCTAAGAAGTAGTGTCTCCCCCCATCTCTCTCCTTTCTTTTTTTCCCAAAGTGGGTCATAAAGACTAGAATTGCTCCCCTCCAAGGCATAAAACCTAAAATGGTCACTCTTGTCTCTTCTCCTTTGAAGACCCCTTTCCAGAGGGCCCTGTCCTATACCTGGAAGGAAAGAATGCTACACATAGAGACAAAGAAACTGAATAGACAGGCTTTGCTGGGTTTCTCCTCCGTCTATTTCCATTAGATCATAGATCATATCCTTTGTCTGATCACATTCCTACAAGCTGTCCATTCTTCATCCAACCTAAGCATAAAAATAGTTTTCCCTGGGTCTTTGGGTCTTCAGTTCTGAAGGGTCCTGCATCAAGTAATACTTGGATTAAATTATGATTTTCTCTCGTTAACCTGCCTTTTGTTTATAGGAGTGAGGGTTTTGACCCTTATGATGGATGAGGAAAGGTATGACACCATTCTGCTCCTACAGAGTAGTAATTCTTCTTCTTCTTCTTTTTTTTTTTTGAGACAGCGCCTCAAGCTATCGCCCTAGGTAGAGTGCCACGGCGTCACAGCTCACAGCAACCTCCAATTCCTAGGCTTAAGCGATTCTCTT